GTAATCATCTGATCTTTGAGATGGGTTGTCAAAGATTCACCATTTCTTTGAACGACAATTTTTTTTTTTTTTTGGTAAATTTTGAACAACAATTTTTAAACTCTCTTAAAAGTGTTTTTTGTACTTTCAACTTAACTTGCTTTGCATGTATTAAAAATTAAAACATAGTAATACAATACAATTTTATGTTGTTCATGACTTGAATGTTTAAGTACAGGTACAATTGCATAAGTTAGGTTATATTTTGTTTTTAATGAGATCCAAGTGACCTTGAAAATAACCACCTCTGCGCAGAGCGGGGTGTTCCTGCTAGAATCATAGATGGACAAATAATACAGTTTCCAGTAACACTGACTACTTTATAACACGGTTTTGATTTCGACCACTTAATTTGAATAATTTTTACTGCAATCCACGGAGGCAGGAGGGCTGCTTAGGGGATTGGGTGTCAGATTTATGGCTTTGGTGCAAAGAAGTCAATGAACCTACAGCTTCCTCACTTCTGTAGTTCAATGATTTTGTACTCTTTGTTTTCGCAATTTATCCATTTGAGTTTCTTTCTCTAATTTGTTCAACTTAACTTGTTCACTTTTCATAGACCTCATAGTTTCTTCAATTTTAAAGACCTAATTGCCAATTGCAGCTTTTGCATTCTTGAATGTTGTTTTATATTTAAACTAATATTTTGCATTTGAACCTGTCCTCTAGCATGATCTGCTCGGTAGACTTCTTTCTGTGTGCTTAGGACAATATTCACATCATCACTCTTTTTCAAGTTGGTTTGATTTGTGTATTCTATGACTTCCTTTCTTGTTTGGTTATTTAACTGGACCGGTGGATGAGTCCTAAAACACTTTTCTAAGAGAATGGTAAGCTTACTCCATTAATCAAAAATTCCCCATATGGGGCTATACACGAGGCTTTCACCTGTGCATTTTCAAGTTTACAGAAAATTAATGACAAAGTATTAATGTAACTCAACTAAGTAGTTAAGAGACTAACTGAAACTAGGTGCTGAATTGTAACTTTACCCTTATTTTTTAAAACTCTTCCATTTTTTTCCTGCCATATGAAATAAACCACAAGGATTGTGGGGGGAGGGAATTTCCCAAGTCAATAGGAGATAACGTTCTTTAGTTCTCTTTAGCTACAACTTGAAATGTTCCATTCCAGCTTCAATAGGGAAGTTGTCTAAGCTTACTCTTGTAAACTTCCGACATAACAATTTTTGGAGTGAAATCCCATCATGACTTACAAACGTCATGCAACTTAACTTTCTTGATCTTTCAAATAATCAGCTTTTTGGTCCCATTCCTTTTCAAGGGAGTACGTTTTCAATACTATCCCACCTAGACTTATCTCATAACTCACTTAATGGATCAATGTCACCTTGAGTTTTCAGTATACCTTCGTTATAGGTCTTGATTCTCAATTGCAACTTTCTTCAAGATCAAATAAATCAATTCCATCAGAAATCATTGACAATCATGGATTTGGCACACAATAATTTGATCTTTCAAACAACAATTTGTCTTTGAGAATCAATTTTGATGCTGACTTCACATTCCCCAAACTAAAACATTTGATTTTGTCTTCTTGTAACTTGAGTTAATTTCCCAGTTTCCTAAGACATTCAAATGATCCTCAAGTTCTTGACACTTCTGTTAACAATTTAAGTGGGAAGATTCCAAACCATCTCCAAATGTTGATGAGCAAAAGTCTTTCCGTGTTGAGTTTCCATGCCAATAACTTTGATGGAGATATACCATTTAGCTTTCGAGAGGGTTATGGATTGCAAAGTCTCAACTTGTATGGAAATAAAATGGAAGGCTTGTTGCCAAGATATTTGATGAATTGTAGCTTGCTAGAGGTTATAAACTTTGGAGACAACAAGATATCAAATCTAAGATTGCTGGTTTTAAGGTCAAATAAATTCCATGGTTTTGTAGTTAGCACCAAAGAACGTCCATTTTTTCCCAAGTTACGAATCCCAGACCTCTTCGACAATGACTTTTTCAGTCCTTTGCCTGTTCCATACATGGAAAATTTCAAAGCAATAGTGGATCCTCATAGAGATGACAATTTTTCTCAATACATCATGACCCACGGCACTCATATAGGGCTATGGCTTCTACCACTAAAGAGGTCATTTGGCTTCGCAACTTATTACACAGTTTTGGTATTCGCTAATCTCACTCCACACCTCTTTACTGTGATAATGAGGCAGCTCACCACATTGTTGCCAATCCTGTCTTTCCTGAAAGGACAAAACATTTGGAAATTGATTGTCATTTGGTGCGTGAGAAATTTCAAGCTGGTATTGTTTCTGCACATTACCAATCTCTTCCTCTCATCAACCAGCTGATATTTTCACAAAGGCATTGGGCAAGGACAGTTTTTATTTGGTGCAGGACAAGGTGGGCATTCATGACCTTCATGCACCAGCTTGAGGGGGAGAGTAAACAGTATTTGGTATAAAGTATCTGGTATAAACAGTTTCTAGTAGAAATCTCTCGGAATCAGGAGCATATTTGTGTACAGTTATAACTCTCCTAGACTTTAGGCACAAGGTTAGTTAAGTTATGATTCTGATATAGTTCTTTTGTGTATATATATATGTACAGTGACATACATTCATCAGCAATTTACACCATAAACACTGGTTGTCACAATGAAAGGATTGACGGTGAGATGCAGAGAATTTTAAGCATATTCACTAGCATTGATCTCTCAAAAAATCAAACAAATGAAATTGAGAAATAAAATAAAATAAAATAAAAATAAAAAGACAAAAACCTGCAAGTGCCCTCGACATCTTTCATGAGCTTGGAAACGAGGTTCTCACGGTGGTTGCAGCCGATGTGGCGCGGATGTAGCTGCATGTTGCGCTCCAATACTATGTGGAAGAACATGTTTGAGAGTGAAGAATGAGAGTTCCTCTGTCTATGGATTCTGGGTTCAGGAAGGAGGAAG